TTGATCCATGAGAACATTTTCCCTTGCGAATTAACAGAATTTAGAGAAGAATTTTGGATTCAAATCCAGCGTTTTTATTATTCGAATCTCATTAAAATCATTTTTTTTTCACTACAATTGTCAGAGTAATTATCAATTACAACGTTCAGTAAATGTAAAAATACTGACATACACAATTTTTTCCATAAACAAAACGTCCATATACATAAATTTAAAGTACACGATTACAAATTAATGTACACAATAATATTAATGTTGTTCCGTTTAATATTAATATTATTTAATAGCTATAAAAATTTGTGCTGCAGCTTCATGTAAAGTTACTACAGTTAAAATGGAATCAATATCTACAGTCGGCTCCAAATGATTCTTGGGTGTTGATTCAAAATTTACTATGATGTGTTTAGATCAAAAAAATCAAAACAAATCGTTTAAATTTCAACAACTGTTAGCGACATAAAAAAAAGTAATTAGTTATCTATGCTTCTTCTTTAGTTAAATTTTTGAAATTGTAATGAGAGATGAAGAAATAGGTACTCATCTTAAGTTAAATCTGATTGATAGTTTTTAATATACCACAATTAAATAGTTTTCTATAAATAGTCGAATAGCAGTGTAACGGCCTTACATATTATGGTATTTTTTTATGAGTTGCATCTCTCCCTCCTCTCAATTCACGAACGTATTATATCTATTATACATTTTTAGGAATGTCATTAACTAAGTTAATTAATTCAATCAACTTTGATAGTAGACTTATTTTTAACTTTGTTACTAAAATGTCATGGAGAGATGCAATGAATCTGAAAAATACATACGCTATAGGAAATCTCTTTCACTTTTTAGGCATAAATTAGGAAATTGATAATATTATCTAGAAAACTAGGCACTATAAAGTTTACTGTTCAAAAAGAAACTATCCATTGAGTAGGCTGGTAAACATTGATATGTGAGAAATTGTACGGAGTTATTATTGAACGTTGAATATGTAAAAATTGCTTTAGTTCACAATACAGTCGTTATATAAAAGTTATAATATTGCATATTAATTTATAATCTTCGAGCCTGTCTTAATTTTAGGGAAAATTGATTAATATTATGCCCAGAGGAAGTATGTACACTTTTGCGATTAGTTAAGTTAGATAATCGTCATTAGTCTGGAGGGTCATCGTCAGATAGGTTGTTAATGTGGTTCTCATGAGTGAAAGTCATTGCTTATAGTTATATGAACAATATATACTATATACAGCTATTTATATCCGTATACAGTGACAAGCATAGCTATGTGAGCATCATTAAATCTCGAGGCTTCAAATTCAGAAGACCTGTTTCATACTATTTGTCATCAACATTACGCGCCTTCAAGGTATTTCAAATTCGAAATGTAAGGAAGTTGTTAAAATAAGTCCAGGTTTAACATTTAACTCCTAAGCCCCTGACGAGGCTAATAGAATAGGAAAGCGAACTAATTGTTCGAGTCAATGAATGAAATCTGACAATTATTATTTTTTTAACCATGTCACCATTTTCCCTATAAAATTAAGTCAGGCTCAGCACCTATAAAGCTTATTAAAATTACAACTATAGAACTTCAACTAACATTGCTTGCAACACCAATCTATCGCTATTCATAAAATAGTTAGAAATATTTTTACAACCTACATCTAGATGTAAGTAAATCGACAAGCGTTATTATATATAACTTTCAACATCTAATCTGTGATACACACTCAAAATAGTTAGATATCTCCCATTTCGACTCCTCCTCATACAAACCTCTTTACATTCTTTGTTTTATCAACATCTTACGCTTAAATATACAATATTTCCTTAGTCTGCTATTTATTATGTAAATATTACATTTCATCTTCGAATAATATTAGCGCAAGACAAAAATTTGCACCCAATTTAAATCATGCCGAAATTTAATCAATATAAGAACACTTTTTCGAGATAACGCAGAGACTATTGGATGATTTTTCTAAACCAGATGTCAAAAATTTCTTATAGAATTCGTTTAAAATACAATTACAATCTTACAATCTAACACCAAACACAGCAACAGAAAACAGCAATATTTTACATTAATGCGTAATAAACGAAACGTTAAAACACCTAATGTCCTATTTAAATATATTATATTAATATTTTATACAAAACATGAAGTTTACCAAGAAAATGTTATGTACCAATTTTGTATAAATATAGATTAATATATCTTTGATACAAAATAACAGTCACCTATTAAATATAACTGGAATTTAGTCCAGTTTGAATTGTTTGCCGGTGAAATTGTGACCAATGTTACTTCAATTACAATACACATATTAAGTTGAACAAAGTTGAATGTCTCGCGCTTTGCACACCATTGATCAAAGTCTGAAATATATTACTCGTTATAAAAAATACAATTATTGCCTATTCGATTAAATCTCAAACTTGAATGCATGTCTAAGCTCGCGTAGTGAAGTTCTCATTTACGTTATTTCCGTGCAGTAGGATGAAATAAAACATCGCTACAATTTATTTTTGATGGAATTCAGCGAAGTAAACAGTGTTGTCTGTAATATATGATCTTGTACCAAATGCATGAGTACATGATTGTCCACATCTAATCTTCTATAATAAGCTAAACTTCAAATCTGCTCACAAAAACTGTAACGAAATCTTATTGAACTGTATAACATAATCTAAATGATAAAATAATGATATTCATACATATAAAATAAATTTAATTGAAAATATTCTACAACCTGACAACTGAATCCGTTTGTTAACAACAAAGCGATTGTCAATAGTATATCTTGTTGATTGTTATGCAAAAAAAAATTTTTTCTTTTATTCAATTCACTAGCTAAGCTTCGTGTCTATAAAAATAGCAGAATTCAAAATCCGTCTTCGTATCACAAAATGTTTCCTTCAAAAGGAGTCTTGTTCTTTTAAAGCGTCAGTCTTGCAAGCTTCGACTTTGTCTTTGATATTCAATGGATATACAAAAAGAAATAAAAACATAAGTCCGACCGAAAGGCGAACTGTTGCTTCAATTTCATCATCAAACACAAAAATATCTGAATTTGTCCTTTGAGCACGCATTTCGAATAACTGAACTGTTTGCACACGTTTGCAACCAAAAAATAGGGATATCTGTCATGCGTGTTTGTCCAGTAGAAAAATATCAATCTGATTTTTTTTTTTCGTTTAAAAATTTTCTCTAATAATTCGTAACTATCGTGTTGTGTCATAAACGAGTTGGGAGCTGTGTTCGTTTCACAATCAATAGATACGAAAATATAAAACTACGTCTATCGAATTACCTAATTGTATATTCGTTTATCATACAACGTTTATATTTAAAGATCTTTATGTAATTTATAGTTTAGTGTGTGGTGTACTTCGTATGTACTTCGATATTGGAATACTTAAACTAATTAGTTTGTGCATTAGAAGCGGCTTTGATTCTATGGAACGCTTATCGATGTCAACAAGGTTATCCATGTGCAGTCAAGGGACTTGTATCCTCGATTTGTGGAGAGGAAATCTTTATTGACCCTGCGATTTAACAATTATTACTTACGATAATACTAAAACGCTACTTAGAGGTATTATTTTGCTTTGCAAAGAATAACATAAGTAACGGTTCACACTGCTGTGCTGGGACTCATCCGCAATTTATCACCAATGCTAACGAATACTAACTTACTAGCAGCTTTGCTGTCTGCGTTCAGTTCTTTGGAATGTTTGCTGACATCCTGTAACAAGTTAATCTCTCTTATTGTTTTTTATATTCAATAGCACTGATCGTCTTGGGGACTTGAAACTGGTTTGTTGGCTTTTGATATAATTCTAAGAATGAAAAAAAATTTCATCTGATCAAGTATTTTAAATATAAAAAAATTGTATATAACATGGCTACTATACAGAATTGTTATAGCATTTATCAGATGTAGATGTTTGTTTAAACGATGAAAACTGTTTTCTAATTTGATCAACAACATTTTATGCAACAATTTCACTTTATGGTTAGCCAAGAAGTCCTTAAATATTTGGTTTTAATGTCGCTATAATACAGTAACAATTTTATTCAACTAATTTTCGAAAGTATTTAGTTATTTTCAATGCACTACTAAAATCCAGCAGTGTGAAACAGACATTTGTACTGTTATATAATTTAATCTTTTTTTGTTTCTTTTTATTTATAATCAATTGTAAGACAAATTAATATAATCCATACAAACACAAAATATAGGTCCAAAACATCATATTTTTTCTAAAAAATATGCCAATATGCCATAAATACCCAACCCTCTAATTATCTGCTAATTAAAAATAACTACTTATGTATCTTAAAGTAAATATGACAAATTTCCCCTTTACGGTATAAAATAACACTGGCACAGTAGATATGGTAATTAAGACTACAAAGTACACAAAACTATAATTATTATCGTAAAAAAATATGAAAGTACACGAAATAAATTTTTTTTTTTTTTTTCATCTTAAATAACTTTGTGCTAAATGTGCGTTTTCGCGGCATTGATTTAAAAAAAAAAACAAAACCTCCTTACAATTGTATTGATCGTTTTACGTACAAAACTTTATCCTAAAATTAGAACAAAATCGTATATTATGCTAACAATAAATTCACATGTTACGTTCACACGTCACGTGCGGTTGAAAGTTCGGTTCGAACGAGACAGCAAACACACCGGACGATTAGTCCAATAGACGTCGAAGAAGATATTGCATTCAGTCTAAAGGACAGTAGCCGCTAGCTGCCGCAGCGTCACTGAAAACCAATTCCTTGTCCCTTCCAGGGGATTACACACCCGTGTGGTTGAATATGAACGACACGGCATTCTTGTCCACCGGCGGGGACCTTCGTGTTATTGATGCGTGGTTGTTGTTGTTGTAGTGCCACGACTTCCTGGTGGACGTGCTTGAGGACTGCAGTGCAATCGTCTCGTAGTACCGCAGCCTGCCGCAGCACTTCCTGCTCTTTATATTGCCACGAAACCCTTCCTGTATTTCTTGTTGAAGAACGCGTACAGTATCGGATTGATGCAGGAATTGGAGGCCCCCAGCCACTGCGCTAACGGCGTCACCACCGGGAACATGTCCTCCTCCCATTTCTGAACCGGCCCGCCCAGCTTTATCCTAGCGAAGATCAAATACAACGGGAACCAGGACAGCACGAATAATATAACTACCGCCACAAGCATCTTGACGACCTTCACTTTGGATTTCTGCTGCATCCTCTCCATCTGTGCGTCTTGCGTGTCAGTGGGGATGGAACGTCTCCAAACCTTGATCCAGATCAGGATGTAGCACATTGTTATTAGCACCATCGGCAGGATGTAGCAGAAGATGAGGTTCCCGATCACGAAGTACAGAACCTCACTCAACGGGTTCGGCCAGATGTCCAAGCATAGGCGGACGTGTGGACTCTCCTCGAATACAACCACCAGGTCGAAGAAGAACACCCAAGGCGTGGTGACCGAAATGGCAAATATCCAGATGAAGACGATCATCATGCGAGCGCGACGCTTGGTAATTTGGCACTTGAGTGGCCACCAAATGGCAAGGAATCTGTAACAAAGAAAAAAGCATTTTAATATGACGCTAACAATAATCATTATAGTTAAAATTAGTTATGGACGAAAATTAGCAAACAATGTTTAACAATCAATAATAGTATTATATTTATGATGGACCTAATCGAAATATATATTCCGTTAAACACAACAATCATTCAGTTCTTGTCATGTTTCTTTATTATTTATCTTATTTTTAAGCTATTTCTGCAAAAAATTAAACGGCTCACAAATTATGCTCGAGGAAATTATCTGGAGTCGAGCAATTTTCTCGGAGGATATAAACCTACCCGCGCGGCAACAACTTATCCAGTCTGATAGGCTAATTAGGTTCCAGCAAAAAATAAGAAGAGAGAACGGGAAGACGCTGATTTGCGAGATGAAACAGGTTGTACGACGTGGTTTTGGATGTCCAGTAAATTTCCGAATGAGGAAAAAGTGAATGTTGCTGCCAGCTATTGTTGTAGGTAAATTGTGTTTGCATATCGACTATTTACTACGGATGATATAAAGTATTGAACCCGGAAGAATTGAGTTCGATTCCCGCAGTGCTAATTGCGACAAACTTTTCATCCTTTTTTATACATATTTTAATGCTTCTTTAGTGCAGAGCTATAACAGCTCTGTTTAGTGCATGATATAAAATTTCAAATTTCATATAACAATGGCGACATCTCTCATCCGAATTGTTTGATGTAAAAATGTAAAAATAGAAGCATTGCTTAAAATGCGAAAAATGTTTCATTGTAAGTGCAATTAGCACTATGAAACATTAAATTTTAAATAGTAAATTTATTTGTATGATGTATATTGAATACCTGATAAATAAACATAGAATGGAGGGACGATTTGAATTGCAGGTTTTGAACTGCACATGAACGCTCAAAGATCGGTGATGAAATAAAAAAACAAATGACAATAAACTTTAACGGTGGTAGGGCCACGCAGCAGCCTCGGCTGTTGCACGAATGGGAAGGCCCGTCCGGGTAAGTACCACGATCTTACAGAAGACTAGCGTAAAGTGGAAGTATGACAAATACTTTCGCGTTACGTCTGGTGAGTGAGGTAAGCGGAGCCCAATTTTCAAAACGTTGTCAACGCATCTGTAACCCTCGGGTGTGTCAGATGTCCATGGGCGGCGGTATTCACTTAACATCAGGTGACCCGTCTGCTCGTTTGGCAACTTTTCGCATAAAAAAAATAAACTTAAGCAAAGGATACAAGAAATAATATCTGACGCAGTTTGTGAGATCGAAATGTTAGCTAAACTTAGACTTAAATAAATTTTCTGACGGTAAATTTTCTGTTCTATATATTATAAGATTTAATAGGATAATAATATTTGATGATTATGGTTATATTTCAATTGGTCGTTATTTAACTTATTTCCTGGTCCGTTCTTGGCAGCAAAATAAGCATTCACACACGTGTTGGGGACCTTGCAAACATGCATCCGTCAATCAAACATGCCGGATATTTAGCTAACAGATTATGACACTTGGACAATTTAGATTAATTTCAATGAAGAAGAATTGAATCGAAGAAAAAATCATTTTATAAACTTATTTCATTTGTTCATTTATATTTTTTCGTAATAGTTATTTTGAACATACAATATTTTTCATACATTTTCTATTTGCAAGAGTTCGGTGACGATCTCAGAATCTTCGTTCCAATACCAATTAAATTAATATGCGACCACGTGGGACGTAAACTAAACCTCAAGCCTGAAGGTAACAAACAAAAAAAAAACACAACTGAATTGAGAACCTCAGCTTTTTTAGAGTTAAAAGGGCAAAACGAGACCTTATTACTAAGACTCCGCTGCCTGTCTATCTGCCTGTTCGTTTGTCCGTCTGTCACCAACATGAACCGTGATAGTAAGACAGTTGAAATTTTCACAGATGGTGTATTTCTGTTGCCACTATAAAAAACAGAATAAAGTAATATTCAAGTGGGGCTCCCATAAAACAGACATGACTATTTTGCCGTTTTTATAGATAATGGTACGGAACCATTCGTGCGCGAGTCCGACTCGCACTTGGCTGATTTTTGAAGTCAGTTGAATAAAACTCCTTCTCATTTATCACTTATCATAACATAAAAATAAAAAGTTAATACCACATGTATTAAATTTAAATAAAAATTTTGTAAATAAAAAAGAAATGACGGGCATGATTTTCTATATCAAACAAAATAATGGATGCAAGTGGCTCAGGATCGTGCTTCGTGGCAGTCTGTGGGTAAGGAAAACAGTGGTCTCAAACAGGCTGAAATATATACATTTATAAATACTATAAATAAAAATAAGATACACAAACAAAAATCTAACAAATGCTCCCTACAGCGGAGGAAAGTTATGTTTTATTTGCTTTACTATTTATGCAATATTAACTCAATTGTAAGTCACTTATTTAAAGTCTTTTATTATTAAAAGGCTAACGTCACGCTTATTATCATAAATTATGTTCTAGAAAAAAAAAATGGACAAAATTACCTATCGAAACAAACAGTATCAACATTTCCTTTACTTAAACAAAATTTCATAAGTTTAAATTTTTTACATCATTTTTAATACAACACCTTTCATTAATTATGAACGAGAATTTTTGTACCTCTAGGAGGTACCCTAAAAATGCATCGGCTGCTTTCAATAAGTCGCCTTGAAACGTCAATGGAGGGGCCGGCTCAAGACTGTCCGCTGTCACCATAGACTGGTCAATCGCCGTTTATCTTGACATAGGTCATAGGTACCAACGTGTTTTCAATAGTTCACACGGCTTTCACTTTCGATCACCTCGCTCTCATTATGCTACTAAATTCAGTGCTGACCGATCGGTATTACTTGCATAATTAATTGAACATAACTCTTACGCTTTAAGCGCAGACTAGCGCACGGTATGTGCTTTACGGATCCTAATTTAAATCTCGCATTTCAGTCTATACGAAGGAAGGATGTTTTGCCGGGAAACCATAATGTGACAGGCATATTTTGTGGGTTCATACTTCTGCATTTCATATGGTGAGTAAGGTAGTCGGGGTTTATTATAAGGTGGCAACGCCTCTGCAACCCTGCGGGTGTTCCAAATGCCCATGGGCGGCGTTTATCACGTGACATCAGGTAAACCGCGATCTGTATTGCTACATTCTCACAAAAAATATATAGAACCACATGAAATATAGAGCCCCAATAAATGTTTACAATTTAAATAATCATTATCTATTACACTTGGGAATCAGATTTAAAACTCTTACGCCTTTGCACCCATGGTTTATGAAGTTTCAGGGAGAGTTCTAATAATAAAGTAATAAACACAAAGTTAAATTCAGTGCGACTTAAATATATCAACATACCTTGTTAAAGTATATAAGAACAGAGTTATACTCTTAAATGCGTTTGTTATATAATCTAAAGGAAATTACTGCTTCCTTCTAGACACTAGCAGCGACTTCCTTTAAAAGCAAAAGCCCGTTTTGTGAAGTGTACAACTGGGCGAATTTAGCGTTTTATTTCCGGCTCCCATTGTTTCTCACGTCGCGAAACAGGTGACAGGCGGACAGGCTCGACGGATTGACAAATAGCTCTAGGGATGGGGTCCGAGGTCGTTGAACCCATTGCATTAAGAGTCCGCGGGTTCAATGACCGCGGCTAACTAAATCCGGCCCTTGGTAGCCGAGCAGTTAACATGCAAATTACGCGTACGAAGTTGGAAATTCGGCATTTGATAACTTATTTGGTCTGCCGCGTCGAAGTCATCCCTACAGTGTATTAACCAACTATTTTTATAAAGTTTTCTTCGCACAAACTTGTTCACACTGAGCTGTTTTTTTAACCTCACTACAACACAAGTCTTTAAGTTATACTAAATAAACAAACATCTGATTGATCGGTTCGGCAAATGAGCCTAAGTTCACAAATATCTGCTAAGTTACTATGGAACTACTTATAGCTGATGAACAGACTTGTATATGTTTTTATGTAAGAAGATGGCAAGCGAGCTGATTGTTCACTTTTTTTTTGTTTTACTTGAAAAGTTTCCAAACGAACAGGCGGTTCACCTGATGTTAAGTGCCGCCGCCCATGGACATCTGCTACACCCGAGGGTTACAGATGCGTTGACAACCTTTTGGAAATTGAGCTCCGGCTACCTCACTCACCGGGCGAAACGCGAAAGTATTATACTTCCACTTGACGCCGGTCTTCTGTGAGGTCGTGGTACTTACCCGGACGAGCCTGCCCATTCGTGCAACAGCTGAGGCTGCTGCGTGGCCCTATCACCGTTACGTGGCCTACCACCGTTGTAAAGAGATAACCGTCATCCATGGATATTTGCAATACCCATAGGGTTGCAAATGCGTTGCGTCATTTTAATTAAGTGTGCCCTGGTAACCTCACTCACCACACGAATCGGAGAAGTATAACACTTCCCCTTCACGCCGGTCTTCCGTGAGGTATGAACCTCCTCGGACGGACCTGCTCATTCGTGCAACAGCGAAGACTGTTGCGTGGCACTACCGCAGTTCTCATAGAGAATATTCTTAGACCATTAACTTGAGAAGCATGGAATGTTACTTTTGGAACTTGACTTGGGCCTGTAAAATTCTAACTTGCCTCTCTGGCAGTAGGTTCATCTTTTTAGAGAATTTTTTTATGTATGAATGTGTGTGTGTTATTTACGTCTATTACTTTGACCCCCATGGCGTTTCATTAAATTCATCATCATCATCATCATTTCAGCCTGTTCGTATCCACTGCTGAACATAGGCCTCCCCCACAGACTGCCACGAAGCACGATCCTGAGCCAACTGCATCCATCGACTCCGCACACTTGCCAGTACTAGGCTGCCACTCGTGAACTTTTCTTCCCCACCGGTTATCGTTGGAGGGCCCATCGCCACGTCAGCTTACTAACCCTCTAAGCTATGTTGGCTATCTTTGT